AATAATCCAATATAACGAGCCAATTCTTATAGGACCTGGTGGATATTCAGGAAGACCTGGTACACCTGGACCAAGTGGCGGTTATCCAAGCGGACCAGCAGGTTGTTGACAACAATTATTGAAATTTTCTTATTAACAATCAACTTTTAGCTATTATAAAAAAATATGTTTTACAAACATACATATAGTTGTAGTCAATAATATTGACTGAGTCAATTATTGTAGGTCCCGGTGGATTTCCAGGAAGACCCGGTACCCCCTGGACCAAGTGGAGGTTACCCTAGTGGACCAGCAGGTTAGCTTATGTATTTAATTATTTATGAATTATATAGTAAATAATATTAAAAATAAACAAAACAACTTCACAGTCTCAACCGATAGATTTTCGAGAAATATTGATAGTCTTGAAACAAATACGCTTATTAGAAAGTGTAAAAAATACATAAAATCCACAAACACATAAGTAAATGTATATTTAACACCACGTTGAATGTTTAGGCAGACCAGGAAGCCTGGACCGGCTGGCCCTGTAGGCCCGCAAGGACCACAAGGCCCTCAGGGAACAGGTTATACCCCAGGACGACCAAGTACCCCTGGTACAGGAACAGGTGATTTTCATTAATAACATTTATATTTTATATTGTATATAATTTTATGTTACATGCAAGCAATTAAAATTAAACATCTAAATTATACTTCAAATTTAGGCTATCCCGGAGGCGGCTATGCACCAGCAGGACGTCCAACAGGACCTACTTTCGGCCCTGGGGCATCAGGACCATCTCGGCCAGTAACTCCTACTGGAGGATATCCGGGAGCTCCTGGTGGACCCGCGGGTCCAGGTGGACCAAGTAAATATTTTTTAAATATTTCTGCTCTGAATCAGGAAGTATAAAATCTACTTTCAAAATTTTTTTCTGTAGGTCCTGGCGGATTTCCTAGTGGACCAGGACCAAGCGCAGGTTACCCTGGAGGTCCTGGAAAACCCGGAACCCAAGGTTTTCCTGGAGGTAAAAATATGCAAAGCAATGTTTTACTGAATGTTGTTATTAAATGAACTAATACATGCTAATATTATAGTAAACCTCTAATCTTATAGAAAATAAAAAAAAAATATTATTTCATATAATATTATAATTGATGATACTAATATACGCGTATATTAGTATTAAGTAAATATTTTATTTACAAAATATTGAATAATTGTATTTAATATTCAATAATTCATACGTGTTTCAATCCCTATATTAACTTACAATTAGTGTTACCTTATATAGGATATAAAAATGCTTGGCAATGCACTACCAACATTTTTTTATTAAAATTATTGTATATTAGGACCAGGAGGACTTCCAAGTCGTCCAAGCAGCCCAGCACCAGGTGGATACCCCAGCGGGAGACCTAGCGGACCCGGTTTTCCTGGCGCGCCAGGATTCCCAGGAGCACCAGGGCGTCCCGGTTTTCCAGGAGTACCAAGTGGACCAGGAGGACCAGGAGGACCTGGAGGACCTGGAAGACCTGGAGGACCAAGCGGTACAGGCGCACCATCAGCTCCAGGTGAGATGCACTTAAAAATAAGATAATTATGGTTCCTATATTTTCTTCTAATATTTTTTAACAATGTGTAACTTCATTAAATTTCTTCTTTAATAGGTGGATACCCAGGCGGTGGATATGCTCCAGCCGGAAAGCCATCTGGCCCAACATTCGGTCCCGGATTCCCATCTCGACCATCCACTCCCGGCACCGGATATCCAAGTGTGCCCGGTACTCCAGGAACTCCGAGTGCACCTGGAGGTATGAAATTAAACAATATAACAAATTTAAATTTTATCAGAAAAAACATGCCAATATTTTTATGTCCAGGTGGATTTCCTAGTAGACCGGGAGTCCAGGGCCAAGCGGCGGTTATCCAAGTGGACCAGCAGGTTTGTATCATTCCTATGAATATATTCGATAAAATATAGGAACAAATAAATCGAAACATTTTTTATTTAAAATCAATCAATTATCGTCGATTAATAATAAAACAGTAAAAATAAAAAATTAGAAATATGAAGAAAAAACAGAATATATCAACGCTGTTACCAAAAACTAAACATTACAGGTCCATCACGACCCGGAACTCCAGGAACAAGTGGTGGATATCCAAGTGGACCAACAGGTTCTTATATATTATATTTTGTTGGAAGCTATATTATTATAGTGAATAATTAATCAAATAATACTGTGATTAAAGGATCAGGTGGATTCCCAGGAAGACCTGGTAGCCCGGGACCTGCAGGCCCGAGTACAGGTTATCCAGGTAGTAGACCTGGCGGACCTCAAGGGCCACAAGGACCACAAGGCCCATCAGGATATCCGGGCGGGCGACCGAGCACACCTGGATCTGGAACAGGTGCGCCGTGCATATTTTGAATCACATGCATTATGTAGATTTTACATTTATATATTATATATTTGTATATTTCAAAACGTATAAAAAATATCGCATGTATGATTTATTAAAATTACGATTTTGTCTATTTAAATTTCTATTTCTAAATTTATTTAATTAAAACTCATTATTTTCAAATCTTAAATTGAAATTATCTATTAATATAGGATACCCAGGAGGAGGCTATGCACCAGCAGGAAAACCTGCCGGTCCAACATTTGGCCCTGGTGGACCCAGTGGTCCTGGATATCCTGGTTCTCCAGGTTTGAAATTTATAAAAAAATATAATATAAAAATAATAATAAGGCGTTTAGCAATATAAACACTATAAAATGTGAGATTTCATAAAGAAAAGCATACAGAAACAAATGTGACTATAATTTTATTTAGGTAATGGAGGAGAAAAATAATGTGACTATAATTTTATTTAGGTACTGGAGGAGCCCCCGGAAGACCAGGAACTCCAGGAGCCGGCGGTTAGTGTGTTTTTATTACATTTATTAAAACTTTTTATCAATAAATATATAAAAGTAAACTTGCTTTTACAACAAACAATATGAATACTTCATTTCTAAACTTACATGCGATAAAACATATCAACTTTGCAGGTCCCGGATTTTCTGGTAGACCAGGAAGCCCAAGCCCAAGTGGAGGTTACCCCGGTAGCCCGGCAGGACCTGCAGGGCCTGGTAAATGATTATGAAATGTTTAATTACAAAATTAATGATACATGAATGTAGAGAATCATCAGCATTTCAAATACGCTATTAACGCATATTAACATATTGATATACTGCACGTACAAAATTGAAAAGTAAACATAAAAACGTTATGTTAGTGATAGTGTTTGATTATTGTAATTCATAGGTGTGAGACCAGGAGGATATCCCAGTGGCCCAGCGGGTACCAGTAGACCAGGTGGAATAGGCGGGCCATCAGGTAAATATTTCATATCGATTTGCAGAAATAATGGTAACACAAAATTTTTACAACATAAAATCAAGTCACCACAATTTAAAATTTAGTTATTTAATTTCAATTACTATATTTCATTATTGTAAAAAAAAAACTTTTTGATATAGGTTTTCCAAGTAGACCAAGTAGCCCAGCCCCAGGCGGATATCCTGCAGGTCTGCTAAATTCCAATTTATTTATAATATTATTAAAGTAGCATCACATTTTTTAATTTATACTTTTTGTAGGACCTGGAGGATTCCCAAGTAAACCAGGGAGCGCAGGTCCAAGCGGGGGATATCCAGGAGGACCCGCGGGTCCAGGCGGACCTGGTCCGTAACATATAAAAATATAAAATAGCCTATCGTAGATTTTACTTAATATATTTAAAAAATATTTTCTAGGTGGACCTGCTGGTGGTTATCCAGGAACAAGTGGCAGACCAAGTCCCACTTACAGACAACCAGGAGGTGTAGGACCAGGTATAAAATATTAGAGTGATATTGAATAAATTTATTATATAAATTGGTATTATATAACACCTCTGGATCATTTTAGGAGGTCCCGGTGGTCCAGGAGGGCCTGGAGGGCCAAGTGGAAGACCTGGTGGTGTAGGAACAATTGGCGGAATTGGACCTGGTATGTCACTTTTCTCTTAATATATATAATATATTTAATATTAAATATATATAATATATTTAATATTGAAGCTTACATAATATTGGTATTTATTATTTATAGGTGGTCCAAGTGGTCCCAGTGGCGGATATCCTAGTGGCCCAAGTGGGCCCAGTGGAGGATTTCCTTCAGGACCAAGTGGAGGCTTTCCCTCGGGGAGGCCTGGCTCGCCAGGACCTAGTGGCGGGTACCCGGGTGCGGGATACCCGGGCAGACCTGGAAGTCCTGGCCCTAGTGGGCCATATTCTGGGGGTCCAAGTGGCCCAAGTAAGTGTCTCCTCTATAACAAACAATATTTTGATTATAGTAGAATGATATAAATTAATTAATAAATCAATCAAATAAAAACAGCTGGAGGAGTTGGAGGCGTGGGCGGTGTAGGAGGTGTAGGTGGAATAGGTCCACAAGGACCTTCAGGAGGTTTTCCGCAAGGGCCATCTGGTGGTTTTCCGCAAGGTCCATCAGGAGGATTTCCTCAAGGACCATCCGGTGGATTCCCACAAGGTCCACCCGATGACCGACAATATGAAGGAGGAGACTATAGCGCAATACCCGGAGAACCTGGAACGGATTATCCGGTATTCACAGAAATTTTCCAAACATCTTTTACATGTGATAGCCAACAATATCCTGGCTATTACGCAGACGTCGAAGCAAATTGTCAAATTTTCCATATTTGCGCAAATAACAAAACTTATGACTTCATATGTCCAAATGGCACTATCTTCAGTCAAGAACATCTTGTGTGTGTTTGGTGGTATCAATTCGATTGCTCATCAGCACCAGGGTTATATGGAAATAATGCAAATATCTATGACTATTCCCAAATGGGATACAAACCTAGCTATCCAAGTCAGGCGCCAAGTTACCAAAGCGGTGGCGTAGGCGGCACTGGTGGCACAGGTGGAATTGGAGGCGTCGGTGGTGTAGGTGGGACTGGCGGCACAGGTGGAATTGGAGGAGTCGGTGGAGTTGGAGGTTCTGGCCCATCAGGAGGTTTTCCTACAGGAGGAGTTGGTCCTCAAGGACCATCAGGCGGATTTCCACAAGGTCCATCCGGAGGCTTTCCGTCAGGCTCGAAGGGTCCACAAGGTCCGTACCCAAGTGGACCGCAAGGACCATCTGGTGGATTCCCTAGTGGTCCCCAAGGACCTTCAGGTGGATTCCCCAGCGGTTCCCAAGGTCCTTCAGGTGGATATCCAAGCGGAGCACCAGGTCCTTCAGGTGGATATCCAAGCGGAGCAACAGGTCCTGCCGGTCGTCCAGGCGGCCCAGGTATTTTCTTATACATCGATTATATATGCACATATATATATATATATATATATATATATATATATATATGTGTGTGTGTGTGTGTGTGTGTGTTATTTTATATTATTTGTGTAAAATATTTTTGCAGGAATACCTGGAGGAGCGGGTGGTCAAGGATACCCAGGTGCCCCAGGATATCCAAGCGGCGGTAGACCAAGCTCTACTTACGGACAGCCAGGTATAAAAATATTATCCTGAAATACATTTTATGTTGAATAATAATATTAATCTAATATAATATAATCAACTTAGGCGGTGTAGGAGGACCAGGAGGAGTTGGTGGTAAACCTGGATCACCAGGTAAATTTCGTTATTTTGCTACTGCGCATAAAAATTAATTGCAAATCATGTGCAAATTTACACGATATATTAACATCTCCATTGCTGTGAAAGTTCTGCATTTAAATTGATTCAAATATTAAATCTATAAGTAATAACTATTATATTAGGTGGACCAGGAGGATTTCCTAGCGGCGGACGTCCCAGCACTGACTATGGAGCACCAGGTTTGTCAAAATTGCATTTTAATTGATACTAATAATTCCATTTTCTTTGGGCACTGGAGATTATTTATTCAACTACTTTAGGAGGTCCTGGCGGCCCGAGTGGTCCTGGAGGATTTGGGGGTCCAGGAGGTCCTGGAGGATTTGGCGGCCCAGGAGGTCCAGCAAGTGCAGGAAGACCAAGCCCAAGTTATGGCACACCAGGTTTGTTCAAAGATCACATATTCGAATTGTCCATCATGCTAACACTATAAATTAAAACAACTTCATTTAAAATTATACGATTCTAATACTATTCAAAAATTGCGTTAATCCAAGTACTTTATTTTTTTTTATTTATTTATTATAAATAAATAAATTATAAATAATAAGTACTTTATATATTAATACATAATAGATTATGCAATTCAATTAGGAGGCCAAGGAGCTCCAGGTGGTCCAGGAACTTATCCAACTGGAGGTTCTCCTGGTAGTCCAGGTTAGGAATATAAATGTATATTTAAGAGTACAGCTGCTTTTAGAACAGAGTTATGATAAATTACTATATTACTACTAATCCGAGTTTTTCAATAAAATAGGTGCCCCTGGAGGCCCGAGCGGTTATCCAAGCGGTCGACCAGGCGGGCCAGGCGGTCCAGGTAAGACATGATAATTTAACATCAAACATAATATTTTATTAATAACAAAATATAAATTGTTTTTTATTATATTGGTAAATCAGGTGGTCCAGGTACACCAGGTACGCGACCGTCAACAAGTTATGGAGCACCAGGTTCGATAAGTTAACCTTACTATTAAATGTCGTTATTTTATTCAGAAAAAGTAAAGGCTATATTAATTTCTAGGTGGTCAAGGCGGCCCAGGAGCGCCAAGTAGCGGGAAACCATCAACTGGTTACGGAACTCCAGGTAAATTTATTTAAATATCTGCATATATTATTGATCATCAAACAAAATAAGAATAGTTGTAAATAAGTAAGTATAGTAGTAAATAAGTAAGTATAGTAGTATGAAAAAAAAACTCTTTTAAATCGCAATGTTCCTCAATTATTTGTATTACCAGGAGGTAGTGGTGGGCCTGGTGGGCCAGGTGGCCCGGGAGGTCCAGGTGGATACCCAAGCGGAGGTCGACCAGGTGGACCAGGTAAAACAGTTTAACATGAGTAAATCATATTGTTTATAATAGACGTACCCAAAAAGTTTTAATTTGAAAATACTTATTTGTAATAATTTTCCAGGTGCAGGTGGACCAGGATTCCCTGGAGGACAAGGAGGACCAGGGGGTGTAGGTGGATTCCCAACCAGACCTTCAACGGGTTATGGTGTACCAGGTTAGTAACATAGTGTGATATTGTAAAGTTTTAATAATAATATTGTATTTAAAAAGTTTTAATCGCATCCGATACCATTTTATTAGGTGGACCTGGTGGTCCAGGAATTGCAGGAAGTACAGGAGGTCCGGGCGTTCCAGGTGGTTTTCCAAGCGGCGGTCGACCGGGAGGACAAGGTAAAGCTTACATTCCAAGAACGTGCTGATTAAACCTAATATTATATACTTTTAACACGTTTATGATTGTGCAGGAGGTCCAGGTGGACCAGGAACACCAGGAAGTCCAGGAGCTCCAGGCGGTTCGGGATACCCAGGTACAAGTCGGCCATCAACAAGTTACGGAGCACCGGGAAGTCCCGGTTAGTACTACTATAATTATTTTTTACTTGAATAATAAAAAAAAAGTGATAAATATTAAGCCATGAAATATAAAATTACAATTCATTTAATAACAACTTAACGCAGGCGCACCAGGCACATCATCGCTCCCATCCAGACCTTCAAGTCCTGGAGGTTTCCCCGGAGCACAACCGCCACGACCTGGAGGTTTTCCACCAGCACCAGCCGGTCCAACGCCCAGCTCTCAACGTCCAGGCTTCCCACCAAAACCAGACGGCCCAGACAGGCAGTATCTTCCTCCAAGTTCGGGTTAGACACATGAAAATATAGCTAATAATAACAATAAAGAGAGAAAAAAAAACAAGAACACGATTAAATCGAAGAGCAGTAATGACGCCATTTATCAATAGAATAATTTAAAATACTGTTCGAATTCATCAAAATTAGAACGAAAAAAATAATGTTCTTGGTTTTTTAATATAAAAAATATAGTAAATTAGATGTATTTTTAGCAGAAAAACAATTTTTTTTTAAATATAGAACAATAATGCTTATTGCCATAAAAATGACTTGATGTAGATCACATAATGGCTAGGTAAATTTGGTCATAATTTCAAAAAATGTATATAATTATATAATGTAAAGCTAATTAAACCGTCAATTTACCAATTATTTTTAAAAAAACTTACATGTTTTGCATTTCATTGGATATCAATAACTTTGTACAAGAGTTTCACATTTGCGGGTCCATTAAGAATATTTACATAACATTGGGCGTTGATGTAAAAATTCTTAATGGTCAAAAATACCCTCAAACTTTATATATTAATCTATTATTGTTCTAAATGCTATAAAAACATAAAAACCTAACTTTTGCATTTATTTAATTTTAGATAAGTCATATTTGTATATTTATAATTATTTCTAAGATTTTTTTTCATAATAAATATTCAACAATAAATTGAATAAACACTCAATAATATGAAGAGAATCATATCCTTGAAAAGTATGATATTTTATCCGTAAGTGCAATTATTACTATTGTAAGTGTAATACTCCAAATAACATGTAACAAAGTTACCATTAGAAAAGTTACCACGCTTTACGTCCGGATAATTTTAAGTTTTAAAAAAATTTACATGTGATTGTATTAAACGGATATATAAGTCGATTTTGAATATATTTGCAAAACTTGCCAAGAATAATTTACAAATATAATTTTTGTAAAATAATCATATACTATATTGCAGCCTTAAATTTTATGTATATTGTTATAATGTACTTCTAGATATAAGTTCCGCATATGAAAAAGCCATGTATTATTTTGTATGCAAAATAAACGAACGACTTTTACAAAAAAATGTTTTGTAATATCACAAATTTACAGGTTTATGAAATGAAAAATCCGATGTCAAAGTATATAAGTTTTCAAGTCTTTTACTGATAATATGTAATTATCAAAATTGTTCTTAACTTCCCGAAGGTTTATGTTTTTGCGGGAAGTTCCGATTTGCTAATTTTATGATTCCTCAACGTTTCAAGTGATTCTGAATCGAATGTGACCAAATTTGGAAAAAGTATGTGTGTGTATATGTAAGATGGTTTTTGACCTTTCGTCGACGTTTTCTCAAAAACAGCTGAACCGATTTAAAAAATTTAATAGCCATTCGATGAAACTTGAAAGCACTTGCATTTGTTAGTTTTTGGATACGATAAGCCGACCACTTTCTTTAGAATTAGCAGAAAAGTGCAAAAATTCAATATACCACTCAATATTCAATATATTCAATATACTATACAATATACTAAATAAATTAATTTATTGATTTCTTATTGATTCAATTAATTGTTTACACATATCAGAAAGTTCATGCAACTTTTCTTGAGGCAAAATGTCACTTACAACTAGTTAAATTACAAAAACTTCATATTTTATAGCTAATTTATTACAAAATTATATACATATATATTCACTTATACAAGTTATACAGAAAAATCACAGGCAAGATATTTACTATAATAAAATAAACGAACAATTCGTCAATTTAACATAGCAAAAAGTATATTTCTCATCTTGAACAACCCTAACACAAATTGTAAAACCTGATGAACGTCTTTACGTTTATAAATAAATCTGAAATACACTTACTCGCCAGCGAGATCATGAAACAAAGTAGATCGCAATTCCATATTACTTACATTACCATGATCATGTACTAATTTGAACATACCAGTGCCGATTGGAGCAGGCATACCCATAATAATTCTTTCTGAAACGCCGTTTATGCAGTCAGTTTGGCCATAATATGCTGCATCAAAAAGATGATCAGCTGTTTTTTCGAACTGAAATCAGGATTAATGTCAGTAAACTAGTATGAAATGTTGGAAAACTTTAATTGAATAAGTATAAGGTTGTTCAGTAAGTCACTCCGTTTTTTTACCACCAGAATTTAACTATATTTTTTGAACCTAACATCACACTTAAGCCTTATAATTATTATATTATTTGAAAACTTTTAAGGCATGTATGTAAAAAATTATAATCAATTACATGCACTAGTTTTTGGATGGTGCCACTTTGAATTCGGAAAGAATTAAGCAGCTTTTTCGACATATTTTACTCTTTAGCTATAGAAAAGGTAAAAAAATGTTCAAGTCTAAATGAAATTGACCAAAGTGTACATAAATGATATGTTGGTAGTACGACAGTGCTAAAATTGGTTTGTTAAATTTAATTCCTGGTATTTTGATGCCCAGGATGCACCAAGTCCAAGAAGTACGGTTAAAGCTGATAAAGTCACGAGAAAGATATTAGTTGAACCGACGAATAACAATACATGAAAACCTATTGAGTAAAAATTTATTAGATTTTACAGTTCATGTTCATTCAAAAGGTCTAAAATTTTCCTCGAAACTCAATGTATGGTCATAGAAAGAAACCTGTGTCGTCGCACTGGCGTACGCAATTCGCTTCTGAAAAGTCTTGAAAATTATCAGGTTTTGAAGCGAATTGTCACTACGAATGACAAACGGTATGTAAAGAATACAATACATGCAATTGCCCATAATGAAAAAAAGAAGAACCTCCTGAAAGCAAAGGTACAAAGCTGAAAATTGCCAAAAAAAAGATGATGCAGTATCTTTGGTAAGATTTTAAAGGAGTTGTTCATTTTTATGCTTTACCAGGATAACATAACGGTTCATTTGGATAAATGATATACTTCAATAGAAAAGGTCAGAATTTACCCACAACAAGGTACAGTCCTTCATCAAAATAACGCAAGATCTCACAAAAGTTTGGTCAATCGCCAGAAGCTTTTAAAGCTTGAATGGGACCCAATAACACATTCATCATATTCTCCAGACCTCCCGTCATCGGACCATTATCTGTTCCGGCCACTAAAAAAAATTTTAGGCGGTAAACCTTCACCTCAAATCAGCATGTCATGATCAGTTTTTTGCCAATAACGACAAAAAAAAATTAGGTTCTCGGATTTATGCTAATACCAGAAATATGAAAAAAGATGTTCGATCAAAACTAATACCAATGTCAATACATAATTTATTAAAGTAATTGTTTATTGTACAAAAATTGCGTGCCAAAATACGAAATAAAAAAAGAAGTTACTCTCCAAACAACCCAATAATTAGAATTTCACATTAAAAATTTTTGTAAATAAAATAAATTAGTTATTTCAGATAATTCTCTTGCGGATGAGTAAATAAAAAGTATTGTACTTACCGAAGCCAAATTGAATACAGACTCTCGAATTTTAGCTAAACCATGTCTAGTAATACCTAAAACTTCTCCTGAACTTGTCATTTGACTAGCCAATAGCTCAATATGTCTGAAAATAATTAAAATAAGGAGCATATTAATAAATAGGTTTAAATAGCATTTAGCCTTAAGGCCAATTGTGTTAAACTGACATGTGTAAATAATATCAATACAAAGTCAATACATTAATTGATGAGTGATTTTTAAGTATACAGAGTTGCTGTAGAGGTTTATATAGTGAGAAACTATTGCAGGTTATTTAATTTGGATTTTCCAGTTTTCGACAAATGATTTGAATATTGCACATTATTGAAAATTATAGAACACACGCCTATTACATACACGAAGTATTTTTTAAAAGTGTGTCCGATTAATTCAAGATTATTTAATGTTTGTAATTAAACCATTTGTCGTAGCCCTCTAATATTTTACTATATTCTTGAAAACAGGAACTCTACCGATAAAATTCAACAATAAAATTCAACAATAACCGATCTCTCTACCAAAAACTAATCAGTTCGATTCCCAAATAATATTTTCCAAATAGTTTGCACTTTTCTACTAATTACAAAGAAACGGCTTGGACAATCCTCGCGATAAACGCGAGTCCTTATCAATTTACATCGACTGGCTCTTAAATTTTTGAAATCCGTGAAGCCGTTTTCGAGAAAACTTCTACAAAAGGTGAAACATCGGTTCACATACATAGACACATTTTTTTTCCAAATCAGAGTGACATATATCGTACAGACATAAAATAGCACATCGGACCTTTATGTAAAAACAAGCTTCCTTCCTTCAATAATATACTAAAACTTTTGTAAAATCTGATAATATATAATATTTCAATTGTGGTATTTAGTTAGTAGTTAAGCAAAAGTATTAAAAATTTTTTTCCTTATTGAATGCATATTTACAATCCCAAAAATTGTAATAATCTAAAAATATTTGCAAATTGTTATAAGAGATTTACCTAAAATCTACACTAATTCCATGTCCTTCCATGACTTTAGTGATTTCTGTTATAATTGTAGACCTCGCTGCTTCTATTCCCAATGTGTGTATACTTCATAACATTATTGGATTTGGTTTTCTTAGCATTTACCCCGTAAGTCGCCATGACCTCTCGTAGACCATACCCTTCGACACAAAGCGTGTATGTTTCAACGAGACCCTGTAAAATAATCAATCCAAGTGGTGCATTATATATATATACATTTTTTTATTTATTTACTGTCGACGTTTCGGAACTAGGTACGTTCCATCTTCAGGACATCTATCATGAAACATGATCTTGATAAGATTTAAGCAAACAATATGTTTAAGAAAAGCAGAAGATGTTTTTTTTATATAAAATGAATAAAATTGTGGAAAAAATAATGTACAGAAATAATGTTTCTAATATAAAATGAATAAAAATTGTGGAAAAAATAATGTACAGAACTAGGACAATAGAATAAAAATAAAAATGATAAAAAGAAATGAGTGGATTGTATAACAAAATATTAAAATGTTAAAAAAGTTCACTAAAAAAAA